CAATTGGTCCACACGTGCAATGGAGAATGTAGATTCTTTATGAGTAAAAAAGTAGCAAATAATGTTCTTAAGTATGATGCAGTGCCCCATCTGTTCACTTCTTCAATTGCTTCAACAAATTCTTGATCGTCATCTATAATACCTAGTGCGTGGCAGGCATCTTTGTATGTCGGGTATACGACACCATCTACGGTGCGAACATCTTCAAATGACTGACATCCTTTAGCCTTATTGAGTAGTATCCTTAAGTACCAGCACTCGCCCGATCCCGGAGGTATGTTATGTATTCGCCCAATGCATGAGCGTTGCTGTCTTTTCACCCAAACCTTTGCATTCTCTTTCCATGTGTACTTCATGGGAAATTCTGCATAAGTGAGTGTTCGACCATCTGGATCAACTTTATTAGTTTCAAACCACGCAGTGAGCGTGGTTTTTTGTACTTTGGACTGCTGCACCACCTGTTATTATGGAGTAGTATAAAAATGATTATATTCACTAATATTTTATTATTATTCCGGTCTTAGACTTATTATTATTCTTATGCTCTATTTATGAGCACATTAATGGAAGAACGTGCATACTATGCAAAGCATTTCATTGTAGGAAGATAACAACTATTGCTTGTAATATCACCAAAAGTATGTATAATAATTTAAAACCATCATTTCCAAACAATTATAAGACTAAATTGTTAAATATATAAATTTGTTGAAATTTAATGGTCTGGTTTAATTTAGTCTTGTTTGTTTAAATTTGGTCTGATCTTTCTTGTGTTGGCCTGGTCTGATATATGTCTGGTCTATGTGTATTTTACAATTGTCGAATTCCGTTGTGATCTGATCTGTTTAAGTCAGATCTAGTTTGTTTAAGTCTTATTTGGTTTGTTCTGACCGGTTTGACCTGTGACTGAAAACAGTCCAAATAAAAACATTTTCATTTCTGTGTGTACCGTACCGTTTTTTTTTGTCTCAGAGTTTTGGTATGTTAACTATTCAAATTGTCCTATAAATTAATATTTCTATTTTTTATTATCTATTTTTTATTTTTTTATTATCTTTTTTATTGTCAAATAATTATTTTTGTGACATTAATATATGTCGATTCTCACAATTAATTGGAATAGAATATCTTAACCATCTTGACATTTTAATTCAATCACGACTTGGTAGAAAAAAGTATGGAGTCAGAAATGGAAAGACTCAGAAATGGAAGAACAATGCCGTTCTTCACGTCCTTTCCTACTAATATGGCAAATTGGCAATCACGTTTAATGGGAGCATATCAACTCTACAAATCAAATGAGTGTAACAAACTTGAGAGCTCAATGATGCTAATGGGTTCATTTTCATGGCAAATTCTTAGCTTCCTCTTAGGAGCAACTGTTTGTTTGCTCCCAATCGCTCTAGAAAGTCATCAAACCACACTCAATTAGATTATGAGTTCTATACATTAGCTATTCCAACCTACATATTTGTCTGTAATGGTTCTATGTGGGACTCTTGCCAAGTATAAGTAATTGGGATGAAACTTGCGGTTAAGGTAAGTCCAGGGGCGGATCCAGGATTTCATGTTGCGCTGGGCTGAAACACTTAAATAATAATACATTGAAAATTTTCAAAATAAACAAAAAATCAAATATAAGAGTTCTCCATTAAATTTGTTCTCAACGAGGCTTTGAAACAAAAAGAACTCATCAACAATAGAGTCTACATCTATACTAAGAGTAATGTCTTTTTCAATATAGAGTCATCATCCATTTTGTTGAGGAGTGCTGCCTTTAGAAGTTTCATGGCATAAAACGAGCATTCTAATTTTGCAAAAGAACAGTAAGTTCAATAAAAGGAAAATCAATCTACTCCTCATAACATATGAATCAGATTTTCCGCTCTTAGTCAACTCCTCACATAATTCAACAAATGTAGATACTAAAACATTGTACATGAATACATCATGAACATAGTGTTGCAACTCGAATTCCAAAGCACGAATGCATGTCCTGACTACTAAAATTTTCAGGATAGAAATTCCTTCCAAGAGTACAAATAACATCGACATTGGATGACCCATATAAATTTTTGGGATCCAATGAAGCACTTAAAGAAAGGAGTTTTACTGATTTATCATTAAATCAAGTCCTTAACTCCATCAATACAAAGTCTACTGCCTCATTGAAAACACCAGAGTGATAATGATGTTCAACTGTAGTTTCTTTCTACAATGACCAACCGTATATTCAAAATTCAACTTCGGTACATGAATTTCATGTTTTGAGCAAAACTCCTTTACTTCTTCAAGAAAGCCTTCCCAACCGTTTTTTGTCAATTCCTCTAGAATGATCGGTTGTTTAATGGAAAAATGTCTCTCATGGCTAACAAGATATCCAATAAATTTTTTCGAAGGCCTTGAGAGAATTCATTATTTTCATAACTTTGTGCATCAAAAGTAAAGGATCACAAATTCAAAACATGAAAAGTGTTTATATGCACTATGAACTTATGCCCGAGAGCTCACTTTTGGGCAATGTTTTTGAAGATACTCAAGAACTTTAAAAGTTGTTGTGAACATGTCAATAAAGTCCTTATATGTATATACTTAGTGCCAATTATTAAGTATGAGGGTGATATGTATAACATTTAGATTAGATTTTTAGATGTTAAGATTTTGTATTATGGGCTGGGCTGAGAAATTGGACTGGGCTATAAAAAAATTTGGGATGGGCTGGATGCAATTTTTTAAACATAATACCTTAAAAATATTTTTTTTTACTTTGCCCTGGGCTTCAGTCCACCATAGCTCTAACATAGATCCTCCCCTGGGTAAGTCAGAAATATTGTGAAAAGAATGTTGAACAACATGTATATCCCAGCAAGGCACCAACTCCAACCCAATACCAGTAATCTTCTAAGGGAGTGTTTGCAACTGCTTCTGCTTAAAAAAAAAGCACTTTTGGAGAAGTAAGGAAAAAGTGATTGGTAGTAAAAGTTGATAGTGTTTGAGAAAAAAGTGATTTTGAAAAGTAAAAGTTGGTAGTGTTTGGTAAAATAAGTGCTTTTTGTGTAATAGAAAAGGGAAAAGCACTTTTCACACGCAAGCCGAGAAAAAGTAAAAATTGGTAGTGTTTGGTAAATAAGTGCTTTTTAAAGCCAAAAGCTGAGAAGTGCTTTTTTTTAAGCAGTTGCAAACACTCCCTAAAAATAAGTTGCGGACCTTCATTAACACCTTGCCCAATGGCAAAGCAGAGCCCCCAACATTCTACCGGATGGATGGATAGATAGATATAAGGTACGTAGAACTGTTTTGTACTATTAAAAAACGAATGGGTTCTCATTAGTTTTAGACACGTGTTTTTTAAAAAAAAATACACTCCAACGCTTTCTGACGACCCTCGACAGCAGACCATTTACAATTCTGAACACAGATACAAGTTCTCTTGATCCATTTTTCATTGAATCTGTGTGTTAAAGCAGACGTACATTACCCAAAACCTAACTGACATTTTGCTTCCCTTAGAACTATAAATATGTTCTAGTTTTTGACAGTATTTGCCATATTCCAATTTTCGGAGTAGCAGACCTTTGTCACTGGTATCTTTTGGACCTACATTCCCATTTTCTATCAGTGGTATCTTTTGGTCGAACATAATCAACTGACAAAGGTTTGACAAAATGTACCAAACTTGACACAAAAATAGGTATGTTCTATCAGTTGCTTACCCAAAAGATACTTGCTCAAAGTAGGAATCAAACTTTTGACATTTAAACTGACTTTCAAAACTCAAATAATTATATAAAAATATAACCAGTCGAGGTCTTTCCCGTTTGCTGTCAGCGTTATGTCTTTTGTTTCTTAGACTCTGATTCTTCAGACGGAGCAAAGTGTCTTTCATAGTTATTGGCCCACACTTCTCTAAATGATTCAGCCTGGTCGAGTAACAAATCAAGAGTTTATCCCAATACACTTGGATGGTGTTTCTCTCTATCCATATAGCATGGGGAGGGAGAGATCATTTTAGATTTTGTGAAACTTCTCTCTAATAACATCCCTGGCACGATAAGTCCCCCAGATTGCTTCCATAGCGTCTTCAACCAAGCATCGATATTCTCGGCTTACTCCTCTCCCAGCAAGCGTTTCGAGTTCTAGGTACATAAGTTCTAGGTACATATCTTGAAATGGCAACTCTTTAAAAAGCTTCATTTGGTTTTCCAAGTCTCTTAGAGATTGAAAGATTGAGAGACATTTCTCCTTCTTCAACAGACTTCCATCTCGATCATCATGATTTTCGGGCTCTTTCATCTTCCTGAGAATGTTATACACAACATCCTCAAATTTGGTGAATTGGAACCACACAAACATAAAACAGATTTACTTATAAAAGATGATGGGGTTCATCATCATGACCTCACATTCATCTGGAAGCACTAATTCATCCAGTCTCCCTTGATTTACTAAGATAGTACCAATTTGATTGAACACATCTCTTATGTCCTCTTCAGATTTACTGACCCCAGACTCGTGTAGACTTTTAAGGCTAAGTTGAAGGCAAGTCCCTGTCTGTGTTGCCCGCAGCAAGGCAGGCATAAGATTCATAAAGCTTTCGATGTCATAAAACACTTGTATATAAAGTTCCCGGATTTGGGCATGTTTAGATTGTAGATTGTTCTCAAATTCCATAAGCACATTCACCTTCTCCGAGCATTCATTGCAGGGACAAAGCTTGGAAAAATCATATACGGGTACCTCTGCTTCTGGCTATATTACCAGGCATTCTTTCAAAATAAAGAATGGGGTGATGAGGAAAGGCAGGATGGTGAGGGGAAAGCAGATGGGCGTTACTCTGGTTAGGGTTTTCAGGATGTCCAGATCGATCTGGACTCTATGGGTATGTTTAAAACTTTAAACACCATCAGTCAGGTTCAATATTTTTGCCAACCAAATTGGGTTACCAACTTGAAGCATTTCATACTAGGTAAATCCGTGTTATTTGGACTGTTGATTTGATCTTTATCTTAAGGCAACGAATTTATTAAATTGAATGACTTATACAATTGAAAACATGCTTAGATCGCCAAGCTCCAACATTTAAATCAAATTTGGCATACTAAGCCTCGAAGTTGATTCTCCAGCATACGAATTCTCGTTCTATTACAGATCAATTCTGTATTTCTGTTCTACTAATTGAGCAATGGAAAATCAACTCTTCCCAAGTATGTTCAATACTAAAAGGAAACAGTATCATCAAATCTTCTACAGCTTAAAATGAAACAGTATAACCCCAAATGCACAAGCGTAATATAATGATAACTTAAAAAGGAAAAGATCTGCAAATGTTTTCATTCAGATATAACCCCAAATGCACAAAACACTACAATGATTTTTTGAAATTCCAGATCAACACAGAAGAATTAACCAAACAGATCCGTATAAGCTTAGCCGCCAAAACCGTACAGAGTCCTTCCTTGCCTCTTCAGGGCGTAGACCACATCCATGGCAGTAACCGTCTTCCTCCGAGCATGCTCCGTGTAGGTAACTGCATCACGAATGACATTTTCAAGGAAGATCTTCAGCACGCCTCTGGTCTCTTCATAGATCAGGCCGCTGATTCTCTTCACGCCTCCTCTTCTGGCCAGCCTCCGGATCGCCGGCTTGGTGATGCCCTGGATGTTGTCCCGGAGAACCTTACGGTGGCGCTTTGCTCCGCCTTTCCCCAACCCCTTTCCTCCCTTTCCGCGGCCGGACATTTTTCTCCCTGTGACGGTTGTTACTTGACTTTGATTCAGAGATGTGAGAATTGGAAAGCTAGAGCTTCTTACATTGAAGTTTAAGGCGGAGGAGGGTTTTTATAAGGGTTTGAATGGATGGGCGGGAAGTTAAAATTGGCGTCGAGTTTTCGGTTTTGGGGGATTTCGAATTCGGAGCTTTTTGTCTTGAATCCCTGTGCAACTGACGAAATGTTTAGAACCGTTGATGAAGAGAGGTTCGATTTTGTGTGAAGTGTGCTTCGATGCGGATCGGTGACATGGCATACCGCAGTATCCTATGCTGTGCTGAATTACTCCGTGCGATGCTATGTGAAGTGCAAAGGTTTTCGGATTATCAGGGTCATCAGTCAACTTTTACATTAAATGTGTAACTTTTGTTTTTGCATGCTGAATCGTGTAATAAACAAAAAAAGTGAGGTTGGAGTTACTTTTTTGGTTGTATTGGCTGATGTTACTGTACATGATCATTTTAGTTATTTTTACATATGGTTTTTTCCTTTATTTTATTAATAAAATATATTTTAAAAATAATATTTCATTAAATCAGTAGAATCAACCAATGCAGCCACTTCATCCAGAACTTTATAAATTTCAACAGAATCAGCCAAATTAACCGATTTTCGTGCTACCAAACGAGCTCTCAATGTTCTTAGGGTCAGATTTGTTAATTGATCATATTGGAAGTTAATTGGGAGAATATAAATTAGACTTTAGTCATATATTGGTAGATAGTGATTGAGACTTTTGTCTTAGTATTTGCAGAGATCTTATACATTTTATATGAAATAATTTCATAAATATTACCCTTTAAAATGTGATGGACAAAAATATTACTCCGTACATCCCATATACATCCTTACACTTTCCTTTTTGGGATGTTCTATTTAAATCTATATGTTTCTGTTTTTGGAAACCTTTTTTACATCAATTGACCTAACTACCATTCACAACTCTTCAATTCACTATCCCCCGCATTCTACGTTTAATGGGATAGCACAACGTACCAGCCCACTACCCCATCACTAACTACCAGGTCTAGAGCTCCGACTGAGATACGATGAATCTGTTTGAGAAAGACATTTTCAGTGTTGTTGGATGGATTCAAGCGGTGAAGACGATGAGCGCGACCCAAGAGGTGTTCAAAATCACGAAGGCTCAAACGTTGATAGCCTTAATGAGCAATGTTCCGGGATACTGGTTCACTGTCTTCTTAATCGACCGGCGTAGAAGCCGGCGTTAATGGTGCAGCTGCCGCCAAGAACGCGGCCGCGGGCGTTCGGGACGCCTTCTTCAGAGGTGTAGGTCTGGACAGGGGAATCAAAGGCGTCGAGCTATGTGAGGGCAGTGAGACACCCTTCACGAGTCATCAAATCCGAATTTCCATAGGGAATGCAACCTTTTTAAATAGCAATATGCGAAGAGCTCTTGGAGATGACATGCGTTATAGATAAATTGGGGAATGGGATGAGGTATTGGTTTAGCAGAAGAATGACGTGAGGTCTTGATTCAGCGAATTGGGGAATGGAGGGAGGTCTTGGTTCAAAACAAGAAATCTCACATTTTTTCGAAATTTTGAGAAGCTTTGAGGGTGAAGATGGAGGGAGGGTCTTGATTCACTAGGGACAAGAACAGGCGCAGGGGTTGGGGGGTTACTGGGTTAACAAAGGGAGTAAATGGCGTAGGGGGGTACTGGGTTAGCAACATAGAATCGGTAACGAAAGACAAAGGCAAAGGGTATAAAAGGGCTTTCATGCTTTCATATTCCATTAATTGGTCTCCTTAAACTTTGTGCCAAAAGCAAACGTCAACTTATATCCGTGACGGAGGGAGTACTTGGTAACTATTGGCGACTACAATAGTGTTCAACATTTACATCAAAGTAACCAAATGTAAGTTACTGTGATGTAAACTTTGTGCACACAATTATAGTCACAATAGTTACTAAGTCACATTTTTGGCCATCACATGTTTATTAGTACTCCTCATATTGACAGATGCATAAATGAGTTATCGCTTTTCGAGAGTTTAATGAAAGACACATCGGTGATAATATCTATATTCTGATGGAACATATTTTAATTGAATACAGTTTGTTTGATAATGTGCTTACTATTGGCTTCGACAATGCTACTAATAATACTGTTGTTATATCTAGATGTGTGACTTATGTGATCCTTCTACTTGGATGAGTATATTTTTTCATCAGCATTGTGCATGTCATATTATTAATTTATGTGTGGAAGACGGCTTAGCCGCATTAGGAAACATGATGGACAAAGTGAGGGGGGCTATTAGAGTGATCCAGTAATACTCAACTAAAAATGCAATGGCGTGCTATTTGAGGTCCAAAAGTGTAAGTTATTGTGCTTTTCCTAAGTTATTGTCCAAAAGTGTAAGTTATTGTGCGTCTTATATGAGCAATAACTACAAGACTAATTTATTTGTTGTGTTTCTTATAATGGATCGTTGGTTGTGTCACACTATTATTTTCTATAAAATTTGGATTTTGGGCTGACATTTTTCTTATATACCCAAAACCTTAGAGACAAAAACTGCAGGCGGAAAGAATTTTAGAAATGTGTACAAAATATGTAATTCTAAGAGTAATACTTCATTTCGGTATGAGCAATAATTACGCGACTAAAATTGCGATTCCTCTCAAAATAAAAGTTTCAATATTAACATTTGGCTTCCACGCTTTTTCCAAGAATGAGCATATTTATGAGTCAAGATAATCTAGTGAAATCATCAGAAAACATTTCTTGGAAAAGAAAACAAATAAAAAAGAAAAATTTGGAAAAAGAAGAAAAAAATTAAAAACATGAATCGTTGGAAACATAAAATGATAGGATGAAAAAAAAGATAGCAAGTACATATGATGGGGTTTTTAGTACATGGACTTGAATGATCGTTTCACAATAGTATACTCCATATGTGTTTTTTGACCTTTTATCCTTATATTCCATCCGTCCCGATTGGATCTTTATGTTTGCTTTTGACACGCTATTTTAGGAGAACAAAAGATTAGACAAAGCTTTCCTATTTTGTCCTTACCCGTATCATTCGTCACTTTCTTCCTTCACCGCTCCCTTCATATATGGAACTACGGAAGCAACTACTTCGTACAAATTTGTTGGATATATTACCCCGCGACTTGATAAATTGCAAAATGGAAGTATGATAAATCAATACTCTTGGCTTGACAAATCAGAAGTCAATTCTTACGATTTGCAATTCCACTATGGAGTCATGTGTCCTTGAGTTTTTGATTGGGTTTTGCAATTCCATGGATGAGAACCACGGGTGTGTGCAATTGGCCAAGTTGTAGAGTGTAGATGGAGGGACATGGATTGGCAACACAATCTTGTGACTGCCGACCGAGGAGTGAGGTTGAATCTAGATATCCGCAATCGCGACACGTAGGCTGCAAGGTGAATGCAACGACGCCGAAAATTATTGATAGAACTCATGATTTCAGGTGACTAGCATTCAGCGCACCTTCAAGGCAAAACAGATGGCTGCACAACAATGTCGACACACCATGAAGAGGATGGCGCCCTGATAATGTGCAGAGAAGGAAACTAGAAAGTTTTGTAAAACGTGAGTAGGCAAAGGTAGTTTGGACAAGTAGGATTAAAAAGAGTTGCCAAAAAGGAAACGTAAAAGGGTAAATGGAACGTCACAAAAAGGAAAATTTAAAGATTTAAATGGAAGGAAAGAAGTAATAATGACCTTTAAACGCATTAAGTGTTGCTACACTTGTTAGCTTATGTCTTGTGGTGTTGCCAAACTGCATATGAATACTTTTCATTTTTTACAAAAAGTGACTAAACTATGTTTTATTTTAGAGTCCTTATTGTACTCACTTTTCTACACACATTTGTACATTTGTCCGTGTACACATACAGTTGGGAGAGAAATGCTGTCTTCTTTTTAACGAAATGCATGTGTTCACAGGCAAAATAGAAGGATGAATACAAAAGTGGGTACAAACCATTTTTTTTTGTTTATTTTAATTCCAAACCCACGGGCATATTCTCGCTAGAAAACAAAAATATGAATAATTTTCATTTTTACATGAAATGTGACTAAACTATGTTTCATTGTAATTCCAATTCCTACCTAGCTGCTTACCCCTGCTCCCTGGCGCACTGTTGACGATTGTTGCCGGACACGGGGAAGTTTTAAGTTTTTTTTCCTCAATTTATCACTAAAAGGAGTTCCACACACTTGTGCAGGAATATATTTCATGAACGAAGGAAAAAAAAAATGGAAAAATTGATAGTAATAATCCCAACTATTGGCGGTCTGCCTATAATAATCCCAACTATCGATTATTTCAGAATAATCCCAACTTTACGGACCTTCCGCCAATAATGGTCCCTATAAATAAATTGTTGTAATTTCTAAAGTGGATGAGAAGAAATATAACAAGTAATCCTTATAAATAATCCCAAGTTTTAATTTTTACGCTTAATTTCTATTTAAAATTCACTTTTTATAGGAGGTAATATTTGGTCATGGACCATTATTGGCGGACGGTCCATATAGTTGGGATTATACAAAAATAATCAATAGTTGGGATTATTATCGGTGGACCGGCAATAGTTGGGATTATTATTTTCAATTTTTCCAAAAAAAATACTCTGTTACAAAACAGAAGACCGAGACACCAACAAGAAGTCAAGAATACATTCAAGTAAATTAAAATTTCCCAAATTTGTCAAATAACCAAATTGCGGTTCTGCCTCCACCCAAATAACATTGGGGATGCTTTATGACATATTTTGTCTCATAGATATGCTAAAAACAATCAAAAACACAGGTTTTGCGTAAAAAAGTGCAGCTGTTACTTCTGCAAATGCATTTTTATCCATCAAGCTTCCAGCATAAAATCACCTGCAAAAACACAAAAGGTTATTGAGCAGAAATTCAAAACAACCTACCAAATTGATGTTTTACACTCCATAAAAGATACATGCTCCATCCCTAAAAGAGTTGCAAACTTTCTTTTTTTGGATGCCAAAAAAGGATCAGTTTAT